GCAGCAGATGATAAGCTCCAGTCACTTATTGATGGCATAGTGAAAAGCTTCACATTGAATGAGGAGCAAGAAAGGGCTTTTCGTGTAATTGCTAACCATGCAACTCAGCCTCCTGCAGAGAAGCTGAAGATGTATCTTGGAGGAATGGCTGGAACGGGAAATCTCAGGTCATCAAGGCTTTGATCAGGTTCTTCCAAGATCGCAATGAAGGCTATCGCTTTGCATGCATGGCTCCCACTGGCTCTGCAGCATCCCTCATCTCTGGATCTACATACCACTCCATGCTGGGATTCTCCAAATATGGTGATGCTAATAATGGGACTCTGCGGAATGTCCGTGACAGACTGAAGGATGTGGACTACATATTTCTGGATGAGATTTCCATGGTTGACTGCAACCATTTCTATGATATTTCTGCACGTCTATGCCGCATATATAGCAACACTGGTGAGCCATTTGGTGGCAAAAATATGATCTTTGCTGGTGATTTTGCACAGCTTGAGCCACCAGGAACGGGGTACTCTCTGTTCTCAGCAAAGGTCAACAGTGTCAGACACTCTACGTCAAGTTGGAGACAACAGGAGGCATCCCTTGGGAAGGCAATTTGGCATCAAGTTACTACAGTTGTGATTCTCCGACAAAATATGAGACAGAAGTCTCAGAGTGCTGAAGATGCAAAATTCAGAAAACTGCTGGACAACTTACGCTACAAAGCTTGCACAATGGCAGATGTGAATTTTCTGCGAGGCCGTATAGCTGGCCGGGGCAAAGGCAAACCAAAGCTTAGTGATCCCAACTTCCGGAATGTGTCTATCATACTGTCATACAATTCCCACAGAGACCGAATCAATGAGCTTGGTGTCGCGAGGTTTGCAAAGGACACAGGCCAGACTCTGGAATCCTTTTACTCTCTAGACCATTATGGGAGTCCTGAGGAGAGTAAAAAAACACGCAAAATGAAGAAAAATGCGGATGTCAGGCGCAAGGTGGACAAGATCCATCCTCATCTGCAAAATCAACTCTGGGCATTGCCAAATAAAAATTCCAATAATCACCCAGGGATAATATCCCTCTGTGTAGGACTTCCTGTCATGATTAAAGCCAATGAAGCCACGGAGTGCAATGTCACCAATGGAGCAGAGGCAGTAGTTGTAGGATGGGAATCCAAGCCACTCACAGGAGACAAGAGAATGCTGGATGTGGTATTTGTGAAGCTTACTGCTGCTCCCACTCCTGTCAAACTTGATGGTTTACCTGAGAATGTAGTCCCAATTGCTGCTCAGACAATAAAGATTCCCTGCTTGATGCCCAATGACCGCACACTGACTATCCACAGAACTCAAGTGGCTCTCATACCCAACTTTGCCATGACTGATTTCAATTCCCAAGGCCGTACCAGGCCATACAATGTGGTGGACCTCCAGAACTGCAAAAATCACCAATCTGTGTACACGTGTCTGTCCAGGGGTTCAAGCTATCAGGGGACCATTATTGTCCAGGGCTTTGACAACTCTAAATTCATGGGCGGTGTCACTGGCTGGCTCAGACAGGAATTCAGAGAGCTGGAGCTGCTAGATGAGATCACAAAATTGAGATATGAAGGAACATTGTCTCCAACAGTACAAGGGGTCACCCGTGTAGCCCTCATCCATGCTTACAGGAACACAAAGGGTGCTAAACACATGCCCAAGACCATGCACACTGCACTGAGATGGTCTGAGAAGCAGCCCTTTGACATTGAGGCTCCATACAAGGAAGCTGAGTGGGATATAGTAGAGCATCCAAAGAAGAAGAATGCAAAACAAGGAAGCACAGATGAGCTTGCTGAGCAAGCAGCAAGTGAAGATACACAACGGATCTCCCAACAGGATTTGCAGGCAGCCAAGTATATTCCTGCCAAAGGGGCTGTACAGCTTGCAACTGTGAGTACAGACACTGGTGGTAACATGCGCAAGAGGCCCCTGGGACAAGGGACACATAAAGATAGTAATGACAGGCCAGCAAAGAGAGCACGACCATTGGCAAATAATAGCAATATGCCACTCTGTTTTGACTGGAATGAAGAGACATATAGCTGTGCATTTGACAGTCTGCTGGGCATTTTGCATTGTGTTTACCAAGAACAGAACATGTACTGGCAGCAGCATATAGCTCATCAAAACAAATATCTCTCAGCTTTCACAGACATGTTGCAGCAGGTCCACCAAAACAAAACCAACCTCAACAGTGTCCGGGACAGAATGCATGAGATGCTGCACAATGATGATGCGAACTCATTCCCCATGGTAGCTCCTGCAGGGTCTGATCTGTATGCTCTGTGCAAGCAGATGCTTTCTCATGATATGGACTACTGCAATGAGACAGACCGATGCTCCTCATGCCATGTCTCCCAACATGTGACCACTGCTTCAACCAAGCTATGGACATTGGATGCTGCATTGTGGGATTCCAGGATTGCGCGGGGGCGCCATGTAACAACACGGACAACTTCTCATTGGGTCAAAGCCACCCAGAAGCACAAACTTGGAACTAGATGCCGCTTTTGTAATGCAACTATGATCCATGAAGAAGTTCTTACAACAGCACCCAACTTTATTGCATTTAATGTATACAGGGCAGATTGCACTAGGCTAGAGAAAAAGGTGGACATTAACACTGCCTTAGGTAACACCTCTTACCGACTGTGTGGGGTGATTTACTTTGGTGGATTCCACTTCACATCAAGGATAATATCAACAAATGGTCATATCTGGTTCAATGATGGCAAAGAGACAGGACAGAATTGCACTGATGAAGGTATCCTGACTGCAAGTGGTGGCTTGCAACTGTGCAGTGCAGGGAACAGACATATGACAATAGGTCTATATGTCAAGGTTGCCTAACTTGTAAAAAAGTGCTACAGTACCGAAGGGATCGTACTGCCAGTCATGGCCCTCTCCCCAGCAAGTAGATGTGTATGTCCCCCACCCATGCTCCATTTTACAGACATCATGATATCATGATATCTCACATATGTCTGTCAGCTGTGATGAGATAAACCTCAAGGGGGAGACTAAGGCCCTGGGTGTTGTTCAATCAAGCTGTTCTTATGCAATGAAGATGCATGCAGCAGTGACACATGCCTACTCATGTATTCCAACCCAGGGTTCAACTCCCTGGCATCAAACTGAGGACAGTACATGGCAGGGAAATCCATCCATGCCTGTGCTTGTATCATGATACATGATCTTGCTATGCAGGCAAAAGGTGAGTCCAATCAGATCTTTTAATTCATGCATCTGAGATAGGGTATATAAGACTCAGACTGGAGAGCAGACCCAAAGCTCTCACACTGTCACATCCAGGGATCTTGAGGCCATGTACAAGTTCAACCATCTTCTGTGCAATTGGGAGATTAAGCCATTGGCTCCAAAGTCCTGCACCAACAAACAATTGATTACAATCCCCGAGGTATGAAGGAATTGTCCTTATGACTGGAGAGGATGAAACACTTAGCATGGAGCCCAATGTGGCAGGTTTTTCCCACAGTGCATGTGCCTGTTTGAGCAACAGATAACCAAAGATAAGTAATCCTTACCACACTATCAGGAGCTGAGTTTCAAATTTCAGACCTAGACAACACAACTTGCACCAATGCACCTAAACAAATGCTGTGGCTGACAATTACCCATGGACTTGGGGCTCCTGTAATGTCTAGCATGGAGCCCAATATGGAAAGTGATGAACATGACATGTGACCTAACCAGCAGCACTGGGCTTTGATATAATCAATCACTTACTGGAACAGTAAGCACCCACAAATAGGTATGGCATTAATATAGTCAACTTGTAGCTCTTGTTTCATAGAGTCTACAGTATTTCTGTTGGGCCCCAGTAGTGGCCAGTTAGGCCAGAAAATGCAAAATGCAGAAGAAAACACAAGTGACTTTGCAGAATTTGAACTGCTAATTTTGACCCTGAATATGGAGCACATGACCTATACAGTATAGCCTTGTGTGTTAGACATCATGAAAATGCTTTATTGTGCCATAACAGAGCTCAGAATGGGCAAGGTTGGCTTATTTCATGCTTTTACATGGTATTATTGCTTACCTTCCATATATGGTAATATGTTGTAACCCTCACAGCGCTCATAAACATGTCATAGTGCCCTATGAATGCCCTCTGATGATTCATCTGCAATTTATGAAGCACTGGACATCCACTTTATTGAGAAGTACTGTGCAATGTCTGCTCTCTGAACATGGCATGCACATCAGGCATGTTCAAGACAAATAGAAGTGCTGTCCATGTGATGTTCTGTTCTCCAAACACCTTAGAGAAACATGGCATGGTCGTGCAATGCCCAGAGAGATAACATCAAGGGAAAATGTATCATGAGTTGTAGGATGTCCATATAATGTTTGAACTCCAGTTGACATGTCTTGCCCCCAGTGAGTGCTGCAATCACACGTCATTGATCATGTGACTGCAAAAAAGCGGTCAAAACTGCGCAAAATATTCATTCTGAGGACAAAACCTACTGTTTTGGGCTCAGAAAAATCGTATAAGTTCGCAATAAATTGGAGGACCTTGGTGCAGCTATCTTAAAGTACTGTGAGGTTATACAAGGCCAATAATGTATCAATTACAGGTCCAACAAGGCTGCCAGTAAGCTTTCAAGATACAGTACCACATTGGGTACTGAGCTATGATATCTTGGAGTGATTTGCTTAAACTGAGAGCACCATGTTTGATGTTTGAGGATTCAGACAGTGTGATATTGAGGTATCCAGTACATATGTGGTTTGGTGAGTAAAGCACATTTGACAATACAGCCATGTGTGTGCTCCCAATATGTCTGATATATATTCACAATCACATCACAGTGGTTCTGCTATTTTCCCCAGCAACTGCCACATGTAGCACCCTGAATCAATGAGTGTAGGAATGTATACTGCTCTAATTGTCCTTAATATAAGCACAGAGCAGACAAACACAATGATTGAGAACCATAGCTATAGAAAGATGCAATCATGCATGCTGAATATTCCGTCATTTCTACAGTATTTACTAGGCCCACAAAGCATTGCCCAGTGTGAGATTGCCAATTGGGAGGGCACCTGCCATATATAGTCATCCTGATCCAAGTTGTATGATAGCCCCTGCTTCACTGGCACAGACCCTCTCATAATTTCCCTAGCCTTCATAGTTCCTTATGCATGGAACAAAGCATGAACATGTGCAGGATATTCATTCTGGGGCCACATAACCTCCTTGTGTAGGCTCAGAAAAGCCTCAAACACCACAGAAAATTAGTGAAGTACTATATAAGTGGTAATTGTGCTCACCCAAAGCTCTGGTAGCACTTTGCAACATAAGTACCATATTCTTGTATGGTACTAAAGTTAACTCATATGAAGGGGTGCACAACTTATGCAGACTGCCTGCTGCTGTGCAATAAAAAGTTGATGGTAAAATTCTTGTTTACAGGTTCTTGCTCTCCATTGAATAACCACAACAATGTCTGTGACATATCACTCAGGTCATGAATTAGGAAACTTTGACAATAACATAGCTTTGATAATCTGTGGATGCACTCATTCGTTAGCAATGTGAACTTCTCAGTATAAATTATGAGGCAACAATAGTGTTGCCGCGGCTTCAGCACCTAATTGACCTAAGCCGGCTCAGAATACAACTTTCCGTGATAGCTTTCAAGCTGCATATTTAACTCTTGGTCTGAAATGATCAGCTCATCTCCGGCTGAGTTAACATGTGATCAAGCTCAGCTCATGGCTCAAAGTCGGTTCGAGGTCCTTTTGTAGCATTGTAATTGGCTAAGTAATATGTATTATTATCTATCTATCAATGTCCCTGTGCAGGGTCATGTGGAAATGGTGGTCATCATAATAGTCGTTGGCCTCGAGCCGTTACCCACCCCGAGTGCTGACCCCTGCAAATGGGTACGGGTTAAAAGTGGGTAAGTGGGTAACAGCGGGTGCGCGCAAGGTGCGCGGGTTCACAGGTAAGTGGTCTTGCGGTGGACGGGTGGGCAACGTCCGGGAACCTAGATGCATGCGCAAGTGTAGCCCGTTCGGCCGTGGCTACTTCACTGGCGTGATGCGCGCAGACTCGGGCTTGCGTTCGCTGCAGCAAGGTGGATACTGGGTGCGTGGTGGTAGTGCACTGCCCAGTATTCTTGATTTCCACCCAAGCGTGCTGTTCCGTGGGCAGCTGAGAGGTCGAGGTGTGAGATGGACAGTGGGAATGTGAGCGAAGGAGTGGGTGACAGTCGGGTGGACCGGGCAGATGAGAGCCTCCCTGGGTAACAAGAACGTCAAGCGAGGGCATATGTATGGAGTGGGGATGTGGAGAGGATAAGGTTGGCGGTGCGTAGTGATTTTGGGCGGAAGGGTAGAGGAGGGCGACAGGCGGGGGTATGGATAACCCATGTGGGTCATGGGTATTATGCATGGGTATGGGTATGGGTAGCCAAAGTCTGACCCATGTACCCATGTGCCAACCCATGGACTACTGTAGTGCTAATCCAGCAGTAAAATATGGTACCTGCTAGTCAGATAGTTTGTGCTGTGTATCTCTCACAGATTAACAGCCTATATGGTGATCCTGAAGCTTGCACCAGAGTTCTGTGCAATAACAGTATGGTACAGTTGACAAATGTTCCCTTTCAGCAACCAAAAGACAAATCTTGACATTTATCCTTCAAGTCAAGCTATACACAGACTGCTGAAGTTGTCAAAATGATGGCAACAAGTGCATTACAGTGTGGATGCCATCATGATTATGCTCAACAATTGAGAAAAAGCTGACCTCTTCATTCTAAGTCATGGGCCTTTTGAGATGAGTGCTAGACCTGCAGTTCCAGCTTTACATTTAGCATAGATGCATTGTTAGTGAATTCACTAAATCCAGGAATTCAGCAATGTAGTAGGGCTATGATCATACTCTTTATAAGAAATCATGATCCCTACTGTGTCACTTACTAACTGGCAATGCACTAAGCTCTCAATGAAAATGTTGACATGGCACAATGCTACATCTTGCCTGTGTTTCAGTTAACTTGATCACTCCTCACCATTGTTCTTGCATGTACATAAGTTGCTTGCATGACAGCCTCCTGCCCTCATGTAGGCAGTGACTCCCATCTAATTGATATATGTCCTGGCTTGAAAAACTGGAAACTCCAACAATGCTGTGATTGACCATGCAGTCAGTGGGGTTGACTCAAAGTGGTAGCAGTAGATATGTGCCATAATGTCATCCTGCTTTGTCACCCAATCATTGGACTGCAGGCTGTCTGGGACCAAAGTGAATGGCCCCATGTCGCATCCATCTCCCTGGCCCAGTGTCAACTCTGTGTGGTCATTCCTCCAATTGGCAAGCCATGCATGGGTCCAGTCTGAGCTCACTTGGCCAGTATAATACTGATTAACACACCCCATATCTTGCCAACTATATTACACATCATACAAGATTATGAGGACCAAAATTATGAGGACCATGAACTGCACATATATCTACCCATGATGGTACCCATACCCATGCCATGGGTATGCAACCCAGGTGGGTATGGGTATGGGTATGCCCTCAGACACCCATGGGTACACCCACACTATGCACTAACCGCGGTTGGCCCTTCTTGTTTCTCCTCTGTTGATCACCCTGCTCTTCTCCTTGTGGTGACTCGTCCTTGCATTAGTCTTGGCCTCCTGGGGGTGCCTTGAAGCACCCATTGCTGGTCGTGCAAGGCGTGGGTCCACGGACAAGTGAGCAATTGGGTGGGTGATCAATTTAGTGAGTGGGTGGCCAGCCGGAGAGTGCGGGTGAGAGTGGAGAGTGCAGGCATGGGAGAGCACGGGAGAGAGAGCGTGGGCGAGAGACGACCGAGGGTGCAAGCAGGCCGGCCCACCACTGAGGCAGTCAAGAACACATCCGTCAACGCGACTTAGACGTGTGGTGGGAGGACACACCACAACTGCCACAGCGAGGTTTGGAATGTCCTGCAAACACGGGGATTTTAGCTTCAAGTGGTCAGCTGTACATATATTACTTCTTCTTTGTTGACTCAAGGTGACTATAACTGGAGCCGTCCAGTTCGATGAGATTAGAAAAGCATGCTGAGGATCGTCCTGACCCACAGTGAGCCAGTGACAACTCCAGCTAAGACTTATATGTACACTACTTCTTCTTTGTCAGGTCATCGGGTCTAATTCACTTAAATTGGAGCAGTCTGATTTGGCGAGGCTGGCCGGAGTGCTGCACAGTGTCATTTAACGATGCCTCTGTTTCCTTCTATTACTCCACCAGCAAAGCCTGTCCCTCAGGTAAGTCCTGCGATCTGCACTCATACCGTCCCGGACCTCCAATATCCCAGGAGGTTCCATTTGCATGGAAGCAGTGGACGTGGAAGGACCAAACTCCTTCACATATAGAAAGCAACCCAGTTCCACGGTGAGTCCTCTCATCTCTCCTCCATTGCGAACTCAGAGTCAGCATGGGATCCTTAATCTCTCGTCCTCAGCTCAATATTGGTGAGTACTCTGGCATTCCTTTGGCTTGTCCACCTTACATCAATTTTTCAGTTTCACCGGTGGCTCTGAGCCTCGGAAGTGACAAGCCACGTAGTGCTCCAAAGAAGTCGCAGCAGCCTCTGGCGAGCGAGGAACACTTGTCGGAGGGAGTTGAGTATCACTCACACGGCGATCTGGGATTGTTTGCGAGCAACTTAGCAACTTAATCGCAGAGAACCTCGCAATATGTGTAAGTTCTCTTGTACATCTTGCTCATACTTACTAATCGAATTGCTTGCTTTGTGCGCAATGCGTGCATTAAAGACTATTGCTCACCTTCGTTCCGACCATTGTAGATGGTGAACACACCTACACACAAATCTGAGTCAGAGTACTGGTCAACATGGACCAGTCGAGATGATTATAGTGTTCGCTGCTATGCTGCTGCACAACTCATCCATCCCTCGCACCTGTCAAGCAACCATGTTACTCGGCATCCGTATTGCGTTGGACACGCTAGTTTCCCAACAAACCACCATCAACTGGGTCAATGTTCTGCTGCTTGCGCAGATTGCTGTGCACGTCGCAGAGTCATTCAGGTGCAGAAACACTGAGGTGAGAGGGTCATAATTGTGTGCTCACCTCTTCTCATCCGAACCACTATAGGACATTGACGACTCAGCGACGGCGGCCGAGTCGATGAGCAGTGATGCCCATAGTAGCATGCCCTCCTATGCACTGTGAGTTGGAGTAGTATATGGGGCTGCGAGCATAAGTGCCTGTTGTTCTGTATAATGTACATTTATCATCATCACATTTACATCAACATGTTGTTTTTCCTGCCTTGCCTGCGTCGCTGAGAGCGGGCAGACAGTAGTACAACAAATCTGAGTCGGCGCTGAGCAGCCAAATGCTCATCATTAGCAAAGTCTCCGAGCTGCACAACATCCCGAAAATATGTATACATTTATGTATGTAAAGCTACGATGTAAAAGGGATCTGCGTCTCAATATGTTTGCAGGACCATGCCAGATTAATACTATGCTTGTTTACAAGTATGCACCGGAAGTCCAAAGTCACTGGTCACTAGTGTCACAGTGTGTGGGAGTCCAGTGTCCAACATTGCATCTGGTCGCTCATGCATTCACTAATCTGTTGGGTTGGTCCTCCTCCTATATACCCAGTGCCCACTGCACTCACCTACAAGCTTTCATTCCTTTATCCCCCCTCCACTTGTACAGTATCATCCCCTGCAGTGAGTCCAACTTAACACTTGATTGTTGCGGTGTTTATGTCTGACCTTAGTAGTCATGTCTATGAGCCTTGTTTGTTCGCGCATTGGAGGGAGATTCCAGTTGAAGACCAAGATCAGTTCTGGGTCATTTGGTACGTGGTATATTAGTCCGAGCTTGTCCTGCTCATGCAGTCTACAGGTGAGGTATACAAAGCCGTTGACATCATTGACATGGTCGATGTAGCAATCAAACTCGAGCACGTTGATCGTACACGATCAAGCCTGGAGCACGAGGTCACCATCTACAAGAACCTAGGACGAATGCCCAGTATCCCTCGTGCACCTTGGTTTGGGGCCGAGGACGGATACAACGTCCTCGTCCTTGATCTTTTGGGACCTTTGCTTGCCTCATCGCCTCTAGGCAATGAGCCTGTGTTTCGCCTTCAAGCTGTGTTGGCAATTAGCAACCAAATGGTGCGTAGTCTGTTCTGTGACGTGGATACAATCTCATAGGATGTTTAGCTCACAACCCTAGAATGACTGCACACCCATGACTACATCCACAGAGATATCAAACCTTCAAGTTTCCTCTTTGGCCCTGATCTGCTATCACAGAAGGTCTTCCTTGTCGACTTCGGCCTCGCAAAGCAATATTGGGACCCCATCCAGCATTCACACATACCCTATCGCGATGGCTTACAACTCACTGGAACCGCACTCTGGGCGTCCATCAATGTTCACGTTGGCATAGAACACTTGCGTCGTGATGATATAGAGTCACTCGCATACATCATCATTTACCTTCTCCATGGATACCTCCCTTGGCAAGATCTCACAGTTGATGTTGCCATCTTTCAGCGAAAGCAGTCGCTGTCTCCTACCGCTCTTTGCCTTGATCTTCCCGTCGGACTCACCGCATTTGTCGCATACATCTGTAGTCTCCCATTTGTGGCAGACCCCAACTATCTATATCTACATTGTCTCCTTCAAACTGCTACTGAACGAGTCAGCTCCGAGTCCAAGCCGGCATGCACTGGCCGACCATACAATGGCAAGGGGTCTCGCAGGCCGTTGACTGGTGAAGGTAAGTATTGGTCACCAAAGTTCGAAACAATGATACCAATGTTCTATGCAATAGGCTCTGGCTACGGTTTTGGCAAGAAGCAGGCTGGCGTTGTGTATGCTGATATTTCGTGACCCTGTAGCAGCTCGTGTACTTGATTAATGTTATGACATTGTTGTATCATCACATACTATGCCCATCACTAATGTGTCACGTGTGGTACACAGGAAGCGGGTGGGCAGACAAGTGTGATATGCAGAAAATGGGTGGTGAGGCATGGTATACAGGATGTGGGCAATTGGTACATGGTAGATGTGTTACTTCATTGGCGGCTCATGCATTACAGAAGCATCTGCGTCGCAAACACTTCGACATGAGCTAACACAGTACAGCCATTCTATTATTGATTTATAATTGGATTTTTATTACTTGTAGACCAGCTTGGAGCTGGCTCAGAGCTAGGAAACCACCGTAATTTCGGTTTTGGCCTGTGGGCCGAGTTGCTGACTAAGCTAGATCATGTTATTTTAAGTCAGGTTATTGGCTTGTGAGTTATGCTTGTGGCTTGGTGAGCTGAGGCAACACTAGGCAACAACGTCAGGTGCCCACCTAATGCATTTAGCCAGAATGTTGTTGCCTATATCTGTATTGACAGTAACATGCTATGGAATGATGTCAGGCTATGGGATGAGGAAAGGAATGCAGATGAGCACTCCAGTATACTGTATCTAGAAGGTTGCAGCAACACATGACACATGTGACTTACTGTTTTTCCAGCTAGCAGCAGAGTGCGAGAACACAGGCAAATGAAACAGCACGAGGGGATGGATGAGAGGGGCTACCCACCTTGGTCCAGCATCCATTGAATACCTGCTCACTGCCATCACCGTTGCCAGGTGTCGTGTTGCTGGACCACGGCCCCCATCCACCGCCGCCAACAAGTCCTCACTCACCATGTTCTACTTGCTTTCACCTGTCCTTCCTCACATGCGTGCGGTACAATGCCGCAGTGTCTCTGAGGGATGTTCAGCCAAGTACAGCTAGGTGCCCATGCTTATGTCACCAAGGTTGAGGCCCTGGACGAGATGCACTCAGAGGATCCACATCTTGGACACAGTTTGTTGAGTAGGAGCTACAAATGGACTTAGTCAAGATTTCTACCCTTCTATAATCATACAGTACAGACGGTGTGGTAGTTGTTGGCTGCAGTGCACATCAGAGTGAATTCCAAAGGCCTAAGTCAAGCTCTGTAAAGTCTTTTTATTCCAAGAAGCAAAGATACACACCTAAGTCAAGCTCTGTAAAGTTTTAGGGACTTAGAGCTTGACGAGGTGGACTGTCTACGGTGTGCGTTATGTAATACGACCATAACTGTACAGTAGAAACAGCCATAAAGTGGAAATCAATGAAGCAGTGAAAAGCAGATGAGTGCAGGGGTTCAAATCCCTGAAGTTGCAAAACATTATAGAAAATGGTAGACTGAAGGGATTGACGTCGGAAAAAGTACAGTATGCACGGTATAGTGATGGTGTCCATGTAGAATAAAGGGGAACACACCAGGACACATTCCACAACTTGGACAGGGCAATGGAGCTCAGAATAATTCGCAGAAATGCGGAATAAATGCGAGCTCAACAGCATATTCTGTTACAAAGTTACTTAACCTACTGTGATATTGTATAATGGTATATGATGGTAGGAAATAGTGTGTATCCTATGGGAGCACCACATTTAACTCTGTGATCACTGATACAGGCAAGGTATGTGATGTCAGTAAGGGTGAGACAGGTATACCCACCATATTAGGCATAGGTGGAGGTGCATAGATAGGCCCCGGGCAACTCCCCTAGGACTCTGTCCCGGCGGACCCCCCAAATCGGCCAAAAAAAGGCTATATTCTGGTCCTAAAAAATGCTATATTGGACAAGGTTCATAACGTGTCACAGCAACATAACACTGTGACACGCGTTAGTCACATTCTGTTACCTCCTCGGAGCTCCTCAAGTGATGTATGAAATCATTTCTCACCCTAGCGAAGCTGTCAACATGCTTCCAAGACAGAAATAATCACATACGAGATGCGTCGAGACAAGTGGCGAAGGGGTGGCTATGCTCAGTTCGCGCCGTCAAAATGCTATCCTAGACAAGGTTCCGGGCGCTTAGTCCCATCTGTGACACGAAAAAAGGCTATCTGAGACAAGGATCAGCCCAATATGAGACTCAAAAAATGCTACATTTGGACAGAGTCCTAGGGGAGTTGCCCAGGGCCTGCATAGATGGATTATTTGACCCCAAAAACACCCCATTTGGCCATGTAGACCAGCATATTGGGGGGATGGCCAAAGACCAGTTACGATCCCTGAGGTATGAAGGTATCATTCTTATGATGGACCACCAGGAATGCCTTAGCAATTCCTCTGGAATGGCAGTTTTTTCCCACAGTAAACGTGACATGCAGCCACCTTGATAAGCAAAGAGAAGTAACCATTAGTATAGGTTGCTCACCTGAGCCTGAAATTTCAGACTCCCAGATGACACAACTTGCACCAACAGATACAAACAAATGCAGTGGTCAAGCGCTCTGTTATGGATATGAGGCCCATGAGATGCCTTAGCAGTTCCCCCAATAAGGAAACTGGTAAACATATCATGTGACTGGCAGCCTGGCAGCTCACTGCTGCAAGCACTCACACACTGTAGGGCCTACATAGTCTCAGGTAGTAACAAACCATAGCATACTATGTATGCTCATCTGATAGCCCTTCATTCAGAGAGTATACAGAAATTCTATTGAGTATATACAGTGGCTGGCTAACCCAGGAAATGCAAAGCAAAAAAATGCACATGTGCCTCTGCAGATTCAATCTGCTTGTTTATGACTCAAATATGATCTATATGTACACTGCAATGTATATGTGTAGTTCAGACACTGGGGACTACTCAATAATACAGGTAACAAGGACTATAATGGGTAATCTGAGCATCTTTTGCCATATTATGGCCCTTGCTTGATGTGTCTGTATATTTCATAGATTTTCTGCATTTCTCTGAGCCCCACATGCCCCTGTTTGTGCATGATTCCTCTTTGGGAAGGTCACATACTCCATATGGTAATTATGCATCTACTGCTGGCTTTGTCTTGCTCACAGACACAATCTAGGGATACATACCTGAATGTGTACTTACACTACCATCTTATAGGGTTGTCCAGTACATGAGCAGTTCCAAGAGTGAAGTAGCAGGCTTATATAAGCTCACTGGGGCCACAGCAACCATCTTACCAGGTTATTGAGAATGCTATCTGATCTGATGTCAAACCCATGCCATATACAGCTTTATTAACATTGCCTGGATCATTTTGAATATTGTCTCAATTTTCCGCTTTTTTCTGAGTCTAAACAAGCTCTCTTAAGCACAGTAACAGTCCGCACTTACATCGCTTACTAAGCGCCCGCTAAGCGCCCAGATGCCGTTCGGAGGTGCAACCGTGCGGAAATTTGGCACGGTTGCACCTCCGAACGGCATGAGAGAGATGCCGAGCTGCTCTGATTGGTGCAACAGCCCCTTTTCTGCCCTAATCAGGCAGGCTGCCGAGGTTTTGAGCTGAGTTTGAATCTCAGACACAGGCTCCTTAGTGGCACTGTACCTGCTGTACTGTGGCCTCACTAAAATGCCGAAAATTCCCAAAATAATCTCTGTGATAGGTATGATGTCATAGAGTCTATAGCTGCTGTGACTTGCCCATTACCTTCACTGGTCATGGCACAATTCACAAAACAAAAAAACATGCAAATGCCTCTGTGCACATGAGTGCATCCCTTTTCACCTCAAAAGTCTCTCTTTTGAAGCCTATATGCTGCCCACAGATTCTCTGACATCTCAAACCTGCTAAATAGGGTAGCTGACCTTCCTCAAATGGTAATTTTGCTTAACCTGCTCAGTCTGGGCTCAGAAAATCCAGATAAAATCAGGGAATATTATTTGTGATTGGAATCATTTGTGATGTCTGCTGTATGTAAGAAAACAATCCTGTATGGAGGCCCCCACAATATATGACTAGTATGACTTGCCCAGTTGTTTGAAATTCAGGAAACAGATAAACACATGCATGATTGTGTGGCATTTGACTGGGATACACTGACTGAAATCTAATCAACTCTTATAGAGGTTATAGAGATAATGAGCCCATTTGATAGCCCATCATTCAAAGGGTTTATCATACACTGGAGGAATGAATAACAAAGGACAACATTTAGAGAATCACAAGTGACTGTGCAGATATGAATGGCTTGTTGTCTCTGAAACACATTGCCTATGACCTGTATAGATATGTGCATAGTTTACAATGCATGGATGTGTCTGGAAGTTGCACAGCACAGCTATTGGTGGGGAAAAATGGTAATAACATGCATGTTTTGATGTCTCAGCACTGAATGACCCTATAGGGAATCTTCTCCAATTGTAAATATGCTCAGGGATGCTCCACATATATCCTGGAATATTATCTGATTAATCTGCATTTTCTTGAGCCCAAAACAAGTGAATTGTGCTGCAGTACCAGCATGCACTTACATCGCTTACTAAGCGCTCGATTAAGCGCCCGTTGCCGAAGCGGAGTCGTTGACAGGCCGGAATTCCGGCCTGTCGACGACTCCGGTCACTCAAAAGGGATTTTGGAGCACTCCCATTGGCTGGAATGCTGACAAAGATTCCCTTTTCAAGTAATCTTTCAATCTCAGCTCTTCATGCCGAGTTTTTTGATGGCTTCAAGCCACACTAACTGAGCTCTTACTAGAGCCCCATTAAATGCGGAAGAATCCCAAAATATTGCTTCTCCATGGGATGCCCCTTGGGTATTGATAGCAGTGTCCAGATTAGGTGTCTTTGAGAGTACTGACCATCATAAGTGATGATACTGAGGCATATAAGCAGATCTTGGTGTGTGTATGATGCTTGTACTAGACAGTTCCACATGTATGAGAGGCTCTGTGAAGTGGGGGATATCAAACATACAAAACTGCCATATATGGTTAGTCTCCTGCCCATTTGGGAAGTTGGCCATGCATGGCCTCTGCAGGACTGGATAAATAGCAGAAAAATCAGGGAAAAATCAGATAGTACTATGAATTCATATTGAGTTGACTGTTGAGGCTCCAATATGGCAGAAAACATATGATAGTGCAGAATGACCCATGCATAGCCTGATACAAGCCACTCTGTCAGTGAGTCTTGGTCCATCTTGTAAGAATCAGTATTACCTGGGATTCTCAGGGACTGGCAATTCCAGACAGGATCCTAGGCTATTTTGTTTGGTTCAGCTATTCAATAGGCCCTGAAAAGGCAGGCTTCCAAGCTGTTGGGCTGAGTCTGAATGCAAGTCACAAGTTCATTAGTGACACTGTATTTGCTGTGCTATGGTCTCCCAAAAAATCAAAAACAATTGGGAAAACTACCAGTCATGTATATGATGTCAGAGAGGCTTTACATAGTATGTGTTCCCATAGATTCATATAAATATAGTGCCAGTCACAAAGCATATGGCTCTGTGAACACTGGTTCTTTCACATTGTTTGTTTTTCCTGTGATGCTTACCAACTGCCTATGAATTGTGTGACTATATGACATCTCAAACCTGCTATATGTGATAGTTTACATTCCAAAAATGGAAAGTCTGAGTTACCTGCTGTGTCTCGGCTCAGAAAATGCGGATAAAACAAGAGAATATTTTGAATGATTCCACTCAGGCTCACCTTGTACTGTTCGCTGTAAGTAGTGATTGGCTTCTGTCTAAACCCTTGGGCAGGCTATGGCATATTCAGAAAATGGTGGACACCTGTGGCACAAAGGCCACAGTTCGTGCTGAGCATGTTCATAATACTCACTCTGTGTCACATGTCAATAGCATAGCCATCAGAATTGTGGGTCGACAGAGCTTTTTCACACTGTACTGATCCTACAAAGTGATACAAAGATGTTGTACAAGTTGTGTTATGCAGTTACTACTGTCGTGGAAAAGTCTATAGGCTAGCAATGTCATAAAGTGGGGCCACCACATTACCACACATAGTATATCAAAGTCTTGATGGTCTTTGCAATGCTAGATAAATAGTAGGAAATAAGATAAAATGAGACAATCCCATGACTTCACATTGTGCTGACTGTTGTAGGCCAATGCAAGACAGTACATCTCACATGTGCTAATGCAGATGCACATAGCCTGATGTCAGCAGCTCTATTGTAGCAGTCCAGTATAAGCATGTCTTTGACTAATCTTGTCAATATGAAGCAGTGCCATTTATATAGTATGATGGTGCTATGCTTGGTTGTCAGTCCCTCAGATGACTTTTGCCTGGAACATATCTAACCTCTGTATGCACTACCATCATCCTATTCTCATGCAATGGCCCTTGGTATGTGGGGATAGAATAGGCAGCTTTTTTCCTGATTGGGCTCAGAAAAAGCCATCCATGGTTGCTCTGGAAATAATGCAGACTTGCATTGCTTACTAAGCAACAGTGAAGAGGCCATACTACAATGGACTTCTGAGGCAATATAAGGCTGTCCTTTTATAGCTCTCTAGTCAGTAATATGACTTCAGGAGTACTCTCATTTGCTGCAACTGTTTCCTTTTACATGTGATTATAAAATGTCAGTTACTCATGCTGGGTCCTTTCATGTTATATGGTAAATGGAAAAATAACATGGTAGACCAGGGTGTGAACATGTTTGATGTTTGAACAGCATTGGGAAACATGAATATGTGGCAGTGTGCCTACTAGCACCCAATTTGGCAGTTGATCCTGGATGGTATCTGCCATGCCAGAGGAATGTCAATATCAACATATGGTGTCTAATCCCAATATAGTACCATTGTATGTGCGCACACAGTCAGCCAGAAAATGACACTGGTAATTAATTACCTTGGGAGTGTGTCTGGAGATATAGAAATCCCTTGACTTATGACCAAAGTACATGACCATTGATAATAGGCATTACTAGAATACCCAGGAGAGGCTACAATGACCCCATGTGCAAGTCTGAGTATGCAGGCTGTTGTTAGGGACAAGGCATTTTCATGAGGAATTCCACATATGTGATCTTTGAATAGGATAAGCAGCAGTTGTTATCATTCCTGCACTTTGTTATCTTTATTTGATTTCCTTTTAATGGACTTCATCGTAGTATTCACAATGCCTTCTCACCACATTCAGGTGATCTTTTGTTCCTCACATTGTCATGCTTTGTAGCACTTGATTGTGTATGTACTGACTGGACTATTACCAGGCTCCTAGTACTTTCCTTAGGCCCCTTGTGACCAGATGATCTGAAAGCTGTTACTGGGTGACTATTAGCTCAGAATATTGATGATAATATTCCAGGTGGCAGGCAATCTATGAGTGGCTCATCAAGCTGTACACTATTTCTGAGTTTTCATAGGGCTACACTAGTGTTTCAGGTTAACATCCATGTGGTCCCTCATGTTTCACAGAGCACATGCTTGATGATCAGTGGCAATCATTAACACATACCCTTGCCTTGCTTTTTCACTACTTTTTGAGCCTTATTGTGCATCTTGAATGGCCTGGGAAAGTGGTGTACTGAGTCTTCTACTATTTGGATTCTATGAAGTATTTTATGTAGCTAAGAGGGAGTGCACTTGGGAAATGCACAAAAGGAGCATCCCTAAGAGAAACATTTGACTCATCTACCACTTGCTTCTGTGCTCTTATGTACCTTCAATTCATCAGTGATCAATCCTGCCCATGACTCTATCAGTCTTGATGGCACTCACCATGGTGGTACATTGATTCACATCATACATTAGCCCATTACTATTGGCTGAGCTCCAATCCAGTAACATACCTTAGTATGGCTTTGTACTACTGGTCAGTGCCTGGTAACTGTTCACTTCAGTGTACAAATGGTGAGAGCAAACTGGACAGTCTTTGGTTGTATTCCTTGTATAACATGACCATTCTGGAAGGGCCTTTCTCAGAATCCCTTACTGGTATACTTCTCTGTCTATTGTTGATTGGTTTGTACTTGGGGAAGTACTGTTAACAATCTATTGAAAGACATCTGCCTGTATCAGAAGTTCTTTCTGATCAAGGGCTAATATCTGCACAACAGCAAGTCCCACCTGAGTAGTTGTTACTGTAGTCAACCTCCCAGATTCCCCTTCCTTGAGTTCTAGTTGATCTAGAGGCATACTTCTTTGCAACATTTTCCAAGCTATTTTCTCTTTGTTGATATCAACACAACCCAGTGATACTGTTCATTAGTATTCTGGTAATATTGGTAATTCACCAAATAAGAAACAGATCCATAATGTCTGTGTTCTTAATGGAGAGTCTCATATGAATATGCAAATACTTACTCAATTGGGATGTTGCTCATAATTGCAAACTATGCTCCTCACATTAGAACAACCTAATAAATTAGCAGGCTACTCTGAATGTTTTTGCCATGAGATGGCAGCTGGATGCAAAATGTGGAAGATATGTCAGTGGTCTATGCAGACAATTTACTAGCAGTCTTGCTGAGCTTAACTTCTGATGTGGTCAAAATGTTTTACTCACAAACTGACATGTATCAAACAAAAGGGATCGTACTGCCAGCTATGGCCCTCTCCCCAGCAAGTCCGTGCGGAAATTTGGCACGGTTGCACCTCCGAACAGCACGAGAGGGATGCCGAGCTGCTCTGATTGGTGCAACAAGCCCCTTTTCTGCCCTACAGCTAATTCCATAATGCTAGGCCCCACCTTCCCAAATACGTACAGGACGGAGTTGAGCGGACCGCCACGATAACCCCCTTATCCCTTACTAATCTACCTGCTAAGTGCAACAATATATGTGCTGTCACTGTGGCTCGCCCTCGCCGCAACCTCGCCGTGTTGCCAACCTGCAGAGCACTGACTCTGAGCAGACCGCTGGCGCATTCTGTGTCGCTATACTTATCACAAGGCCTCAAGCATCATCTGTTGGACGAGTGGATTGCGACTGCACCGGTACAAGTCATTGAACACTCGAGGGCGCGCAAGCTGTACGACACCGGAGAGGTCGTTCACAAGCCGGGCGAAACTGGTCGTCCTTGGCCACGGATCCTCGAAGACTAACAAGAGCCTTCTCAATCAGCTGAGCCCTCGCTTTATGTGGGCTGCGTTTGGCGCGAGGGTACGTCAGCATGACCAGTACTAATAATCTTCCCCAGTCTGCAGGCACACGGGGGTTATTGTACTGCTCAGTGTAGGTGAACGCACGAGTTTGTGCCATTCCCAGTCATTTTACACCTTTTTGTCGACCAGCAAGACCCGCTTGAAACACACAAGTCGATAGATGCTCGGAGTTCCATGATCGTCACATAGAGACTGTAGATTCTGCTATTCAGCATAAATCAGATCATTTTGTCGTAGTGTTGTAGACTCGACCACTACTCGTACTTACTCTCATGATGTTGGGCTCTTCACTCACGCGAATATACCTTCATTTTGCCTTGGTTTCGAAATTACACACTATTATTGTTGGTAAGTGTAAGATTCACGGCCAATTGAATGTCTGCCTGTGCGCGTTGCGGGGGCCCGGGGCCTAGCATCATGGAATTAGCTGTAATCTGGCAGGCTGCCGAGGTTTTGGGCTGAGTTTGAATCTCAGCCACAGGCTCCTTAGTGGCACTGTACCAGCTGTACTGTGGCCTCACTAAAATGCGGAAAATTCCCAAAATAATCTCTGTGATAGGTATGATGTCATAGAGTCTATAGCTGCTGCGACTTTCCCACAAACTTCAATGGTTATGACACAATTCACAAAACAAAAAAACACACATATGCCTCTGTGGACATGAGTGCATTTCTTTTCACCCTCAAAGTGACTCTTTTGATGCCTGCAGACTGCCCATAGATTCTGTATGTCTTTATGACATCTGAAACCTGCCATAAAGGGTAGCTAACCTTCCCCAAATGGTAATTTCCATGCAGCTGCTCAGTCTGGGCTCAGAAAATGCAGATAAAACCAGGGAATATTCTGTGTGATTGGACTCACTTGTAGTACCTGCTGTATGTAAGATATTAATCCAGTTTAGCACCCCCAGAGGCTACAACTAGTATGACTTGCCCATATTCAAAATCCAGACAACAGAGAAACACACATACCTCTGCAGACATGATTTGGTGGCATTTGACTGTGATACAATGACTGAAGTATGATCAACTGGTTTAGAGATAGTAAGCTCACCCAATTGACCTTAAATCAGAGTGTCTATGATAGTTTCCTGAGAGAAGTGGTTGAATGAGTAGCAAAATGCTAATATAAAAAACAGCGGTGAGTCGGAGTGACTCTGTGTGAATATGAATTTGTTCTGTTGCATCTGAAACACATGCCATATAACTTGTATGGCCATGCACATTGCTTCCAACACATTGATGATTCTGGAACATGCACAGCAGTGCTATGAATGGAGAAATATTGTCATAACATGCATATGTTAGTGTCCCAGTACTAAATGACCATATATGGGAGGTCTCTCTACTTGTCAATATGCTCAGAGATGCTCCACATATCTCCTGGAATATTATCCGATTTTACTGCACTTTTCTGAGCCCAAAACAAGCCAGTTTTGCTGCAGTAACAGTGTGCACTTACATCGCTTACTAAGCGCCCAATTAAGCGCCCGCTGCCGAAGCGGAGTCCACGACTCTGGTCACTCAAAAGGGATTTTGGAGCACACTCATTGGCTGGAATGCTGACAAATATTGCCTTTTAAAGTAATATTTCAGTCTCAGCTCTTCATGCCGAGTTTTTTGATGGCTTCAAGCAGCACTAACTGAGAGCCCCATTAACTGCGGAAAAATCCCAAAATATTCCATGGGATGCCCCTTGGGTACTGACAGGGGTGCCCAGAATAGGTGTTCTTGTTGTTTTTCACAGAGTACTGACCTTGGCAAGTGATACTGGGGGATATAGGCAAATCTTGGTGTGTATATGATGCTTGTACTAGACAGTTCTTACATGTATGAGAGTGGGGGATATTGAACATACAAAACTGCCATATATGGTTAGTCCCCTGCCCATTTGGGAAGTTGGCCATGCATGGCCTAATAGCAGAAAAATCAGAACAAAATCAGATGGTACTATGGATTCATATCAAGTTGACTGTTGAGGCTCCCATATGGCAGAAAACATATGATAATGCAGAGTGACCCATGCATAGCCTGATACAAGCCACTATTTCAGTGATCTTGGTCCATCTCATAAGCACCACTATCACCTGGAATTCTCAGGGACTGGCAACTCCAGAGAGGATCCTAGGCTGTTCTGTTGAGTTCAACTGTTCAATGGGCCCCAAAAAGGCAGACTGCCAAGCTGTTGGGCTGAGTTTGAATGTAAGCCACAAGCTCATTAGTGACACTGTATTTGCTGTGCTATGGTCTCCCAAAAATTCAAAAACAATTGGTAATATTCCCAGTCATGTATATGATGTCAGAGAGGCAGTACATTTTATGCCTTCCCATAGATTCATATAAATATGGCACCATTCACAAAGCAAAAGCAAATACATATCCCTCTGTACACACTGGTTCTATCACATTGTTTATGCTTCCCTTACCTGCTTGAAGGTTTGGCTTGAGGCACACAAGTTATTCCGATGGTGGAAGAACTGGAGTGAGAGCTATGCTACGTGTGGGTCTTATATACATCTCTGAGACGCTGACTAATACTACTGTATAGTCCATTCCCACGCATGACTTGCTCTATGCGGTAAGTGCGGATCCAGCACGTGTAGTGTGATCCGGCCCGTGGAACCCGGCGGCCCGGTGGGCACCTATATGGTTCAACACGATGGACTTCCCTGGGAGCGCCCCGAGGTCTTCTATTGCATCCAAAAGATCATACCCAGTCTCCCGCATTTACGCAGAGCCCTCATTGCATTCTTTACTGGTGCTTTGGAGACCTGGCAGCGGTTCACAAGTGAATTTGCTGCAGGGTCACCAATCGCTTTGCTGACCCCCGAGCAGCATGAACACGCCGCAATATGGGTGACCAATGATCACAATGAGTCAAACCTAGGGAACCTTCGTGTTCGGATGTGTCGTGCAGCGAACAAATCCGAACTTACCTACAACACCGAGAAGATGTTTGCCACAAACAACACCTCGATCTTCGTACGCAAGCATCTGTCAGGTTCTCCTGGAGACCTGACTTATCTTAGCGGCTAGGGTGGAAGCTTGATGGGGCAGGCCTAGGCAAGAAGAAACAGAGTGTCCTAATGGTTGCGAAAGAACATCATGTCCGTGTACGCCGGCGTGCGAAGCACGATGCTCGAGTGGCTGCTCAAGAGAAGAAGAAGACACTCATCAATGGTGTCACACCGATCCTCAACCCTGAGTACTGGCAGAACATTGACAAATGGTCTATCACCTTTGACAGACACATTAAACTGCAGTTGTACTGGCACAAGCGGGCCAATCCATCAACAAAGATCATGGTCACAGGCAAGAAGGATGAGCTTCTGATTACATTACTTTCAGCCATTGATACTTATAACAATCTTCATCCAACTTCATCCAGTCATTCTGAGGTAACATCTACACTACCACTGTTACGACCATGCGCTCGAGACGAAGTCCAAGGTCGGAGTTACGAAGTCCGGAGTTTCGGAGCGCAGTGGAGTGAGGACTTTGGCGAAGCTATCAACAACACCCTTGGGAGAACTCGACGAGGTCCTCTATTCGGACTTGGACGGAGGTGGACTATGACGGAGTCTGGAGATAGAGTCAGAGGGATAAGGAGGAGAAGATGAGAGCGCGAGAGAGAAAGAGAGAAGCTAGACAGAGGTCAGACGGAAATCCGGAGTTCAGACAGGAGTTCGGTGGAAAGGAATTCGGATTGGTTAAGCGAGATATTCGAACTGCAGTACAACAGTGCTACAGTTCGACCTTATATACAGCGAGTCTAATTGTGAACGGAAGACAATAAGACAGAGGAAGGGATACAGAGAACAATAACGGAAGACCGGAGATGTTAGTAACCGGAATGAATACAATAAGCTAATTGTCCGTGCAAGATAGAGACCATGCAGTACACTAATTGTAATGCGGGAGAAGATAGGCTAAGTGAATACAATAAAACCGGAGTTTGGAGAAACAGAGACGGAGAGAACGGAACTGGAGTTCGGAGATGGTCTTGGTGGCACGGAACATTGACGCGACTGAAAAGAACACAAAAGCCACACAAAAACCCAACCGTGAGGTCGAGCAGTGGTATGCGAGGCCTCTGTGTCTATGAGATGTATGGGGGACTGTACAGTGGTCTAGGTAAGAAGGAGGAGGACAGACAAGACTCCGAACAACGCGTGAGAGCTTCGAAGATGTCGAAGACTGTTCAAAGACGAGGGCTAAGCCTCGAAGGTAGGAGGGAGGTTCTCGACAGACGTGTTGGGCGAAAGGTGACGAGGGAGGTGAGCAACGGCAGTAGAAGAAGTGTAGAGCCTCTCGGGGCAACTACGAGCGGACAAGCGTACTGGCGAACTGATGACTTGCTGACTGGCTGACTTCGAACACGTACGAGCTGACTGGCGAACTTCTGACTTGCAAACGGACTGACTGACGAACCTCGCCAGCGCGAGGTGAAATTGAGAGGGTAAGGGGGTCTCTGAGATTCGAAGGGAACAAGTCCCAAGGTATATACAGGAAAACACGGTCCGAAGACCAAGAGAGCCAAGTAAATTCAAGAAATGATGAAAGAGAGTGATAAGAGAAACAACCAATCAGAGAATGTCACAACGCTCGACCCGGGCCTACTAACACATGAGAGTGCACAACTCGGCCTTCCGCAGGTTCCGAATAACGGGCAACCGTCTCCGAACGGTGAAGGTCATAACTGGAGCCGGTGACAGTCCTCGAAGATATGAGACATCCGCAGGAGTTCACCTGACTTACACGAACATGCCACATCTCGACCCAACCTCTGAAGTGTATGCTGCCCGCTAGTGCATTGCAGGGGTACGGCCAACCTGCGCGGGTCGCGGGTACGGGTACGGGCGGGTAGGGGTCCGGGTAGTGATTTCCATACCCGCATGATGATGGCACCCACACTGTAATGCACTTGTTGTCATCATTTTGACAACTTCAGCAGTCTATGTATACACAGCACAGACTATCTGACTAGCAGTTACCATATTCTACTGCTGGATTAGCACTGCAGTAGTCCATGGGTCACATGGGTTCATGGGTCAGATTTTGGCTACCCATACCCATACCCATGCATACCCATACCCATGACCCACATGGGTTATCCATACCCATGCAATGCACTAATCTAGGCCATGTCACTTGGCAACGCAGGCTCCGTTTGAGTCAGCAAGGGCGACTGAGTTCTTGAGCGTCTCAGCCCTCTGAGGAACTGACTTGCCATTAACCACGTTCACTGACATGCATCAGGAAAAAAGCATATTACTTGTGGGACTTGCCCAAGACGCCCAAGTGAATTTGGCTCCAAAGACAAGTCCCTTGCCATTTTTGCTTGAGCATGATGCCCAAGACACGTTGTTCCTGGTATAACTTGGCAGTAAGTTTGTGCCGTCGCCTAAGGTGCGTAGCTCCTTGTATGACTTGGTATTAAATGTGTGCTATTATGTTCAGCACATTGCTTCGCTTCCTTGATACCAAGTATACGTTACAGCCCAATGTATCCTATTACCTTGTAGAGCCAATAGTACCACTACCACTTGGAGTCAAGCTCCTCGTCATGACTGTCTTGTAAACAAGGCGTTCAGGTTGCATTATTTCTATCCCTCAGGATTTGATTCGGGAGCGGTAAATCATATTGACACGTCTAGTTTGGTACAGCAATGAATAGCTAGGGACTGCAAAGTACAACACAGCATACAACAGAGGTCACAAAAGTACAACAGAGGAGACACAGCGTAGTAGTACCACAATATCACACCGTAAGAGTACGTAACCTGGGATGGAAACTTGACGTGAACGGTACATACTGTACACCTTCCGAGTTCAATACGTGTCGAGACATTGATGTTGCAGTCAGTTGTTCTGTGAAATCAGCATTAATAGTAGATTGCTATCTGACCATAGGAATCAGACTCACATTGGAAAGCGTAAGTGACGTACTAGCTGCTGTTCCATCAGGCATCTCCTCCCTCAGTGTTGTCCAACTGGTCGTGCTCTTCAGCTGCTGGTGTGCCTCTGTCATGCTCGGCCTGCTCCTCGATGGCATTGCCGTCTGAAGCCGCATCTGCTTCTATGTGGCATGCATCAGACCATTTGCACCTTGCCAATATGCTCTCACTCACCTGGCTCTGCGGCTGCGCCAACAGCTTTGCCTTTTGAGGAACCAGTCTTCGGCCTAGATGGTGAGCTCGGCGCACTTCTCGTCGCAGGAGCTGCTGACGTAGAGGACGGCTTAGTGCGCCCGGCCGTCTTCTTCAATGTGCCACCAGACGAAGGCTTCGGTTGCACCACAGGTTTCGTCTTGGCACCGCTACCGGACGCCCCAGCATCGTCTTGATCCGCGCGGTCATCTTCAAGTGCGACGGTCTGCAGCTTCGACCAGTTGACAAACGTATCGTCGTCGTCCTCGCTGTCCACCGTGTCGATACCGACGCCGCTCTCTGCTCTTCCCCTGGAACAACGAATATTAGCAGCTACACGCCACCAACTTGAAGCAATACAACTTACTTGATGCCCTCCCACAGCAGCCTCTTGGTCGCCGTGTAATAGTCCGGCGCGTTCTGTTCCATCGCCTCGAGGATCGACATGAGGTCATCCCATCTGTAGGATAGTCAGTAGGTCACGCAATAAAACACGGCAGTCAACTCACTTGGGTGCGAACAGCTTGTTCGAGAATGACACCGCTGCGTTCGCAGCGACTTCCCTCAAGCCAAGCTCAATCTGGAAAACAAAATTGAATATTACATATCATAACGACGAAAACACTTACGGAGTTGCACACCAATGCGATTAGGTTGTCCGGGACCTCACTGAACTCCTCCGTCGGGGTGGTCGACTTGGCATGGCCCACGAACCACTGCTGCGCGATGATCTCGGCGATTGCAGGGTGTCGGAATGGTACCTCGGCCTTGACATGTGATTTCTGATGTGAGACGTGAGACGTGCATCGCGCAATAAAGAAATGTAAACGTCGCTGAGTGATGATATACGGACCTTGCTGATGGTATTCTTGTTGTCCCAAATGACCTGCATCTCCCCAAACACAAAGTTAGGGATGCTTCGCTTGCCACCCCTCACCTTCATGACGTGCGTCGTCAGCAGCCAGTTCGCAAGTTGAGTCCGCTTGTGACCCTGCACGACGTTCAAGCCGTATGCATGCTCGACAATAACCTTCGCCTTTCTTTCACCTCGTTGCGAAGCTGCGACACGATCGTCCAGACCTGCACAGCGTCAACTACGATCAGGGAATCCACTACAGTACTTACCAATCCCTGACATTCTTGCGCTGGGCGTTATTCTTCCCGCCCTTCCTCACTTCCTATACGCGGCACGCACCGTCACCATCCTTGCATCTATAGCGGCACGCACCGTCACCATCTTCTTGCCATCCTTGTCGACGGAGTCGCGCGCATCCTTGAGGGCATCATGACGAGCACGTCGTTCACACGAGGCGGGAGCTCGTGATCGTCGTGTCTGACGTCCACGTGGTCCTGAGAGCCAGTATATTGCGCAGGCAGTATTGCGCCATGTTGACCAGCGGCTTCATGTCGACGGGCAGGTCGCACTTTCACGCGGACACGGGATTCGAATTGGTCCCTGCGAGGTACGCGCCTTCTTCGTGTTCTCTGCGGCATCTCCTATTTCGTCCGGTGGTGTTGTGTTCCGTATTCAGTTGGGTAGTATGTGTCAATGAAACGTTCAACGCACTATGACATCGTCCTCATCCTCGCTCAACCTTCTCCGTCATCGCTCCAGCCTCCGAGCCGTTTGACTGTGTGGCATCCGATCTCACCATCGTCGACGAATCCTGTTTGAGCTCGTGCCTTGCCCTTCGAGGACGCTGTCTGAAGCACAAGCAGTGGTGAGTACAAGTCAATATGAATGGTCATACGTACCTTGCTGGTCCGAGTCACAGCGACCGAGCTTGTGTTCTTCCCTGGAGCTGCTTTCTTCCGCGACACTCCTCGTCACTCCTTGTCACTGTGCGCGCTGTCCATCTCACCGACTTCTTTCTATTTCTGTTGCCGTCTGCACACATCTGCAATCGATCCGATTTGTCAGGGAGTGATGAGCGACAGCGGTAACTAGTACGACCGAGTTTCTGTGTGATGGCCTGCTCTCCCCGGTTGCGTCCCGCACCCTTGTAGGCTGGCCTTGGTTTAGCTTGAGGAGCGCAGGTCAGAGTATGGCACGCAAATTTACTGTACTCACGACGAGATGGAGCAGGCGCAGGCTGCTCCATTGCGATGTCCCATTGTGCTCCTGCTCCTCGGTCGCCCTGACCGGCTCCTCACCTTTGCTTCCCATTCCGCATCGGATCGTGTCATGTCCGACCCGGAAGCCGGTTGGCACCTTTTCTTCTTGCGCAGGGCTGCGATCTTCCTCCTCGGAAGCTTGCTCTTCGATGGCCAAAGCGGCCGCACGCTTGCGAGTGTCTGTGCGAGCTGGGATGTAACTCTCGCACAGGGTCTCACACTGCGGTGCACGTACCTTCCCGCGCTCATCGTCCTGCTCCTTCTGCAACGCCGCCTTGCGTTTCAGCAGCTCATCCAGCTGCTTCTGCTGCGTCGTGACCACCCTTCGCCGCCGTCGCCTTCGCCTGCCCCTGTCGGACTTCTTCCTTGCTGTCGCGGATTTTTGTTTGCTGCCAAGGTTGATTTCTTGCTCGCCGCGGGTGACTTAGTTGACTTCACTGACTTCTGATCCCGCGACTTGCCAGCCCTTGTGTCGGCCCACTATCCAGTTCTTCCTGCTTCCTGGCAGTGGATCGAGTAGCGCGTGGGCTAGAGGACATGGTGCGATGCTGGCGAAAACACAGAAAGGACGGACAGGACGGGTGTAAACAAACCTCAAGCGAACTCTCCGGTTCCCGCGAGTGCGGCGTGCGTGCCCCAAGGCTGACATGTCCGACCAAAGTCCTGACAGTGTAATAAGTGCAGCTAGGGCAGTGAGTAATTGCAGAGGTGAGCGTACAGTGAACCGTAGAAATGTAATACAGTATTAGCAGAAATTCGTATTAGCTGCCCACCCATTAAAGTCCCCTCCTTCCACTTGGCCATTTCAAGATCGAGTGTAAACGACAGATGCGCGTTGGCCGCGGTAGTGTAGATTGTAATGAGTAAAGCGATACGAGGGGAAAATACATAGGTGAGCGTGTTGAAGCGGTACGACTAGGCCGGCTTCGTGCAAGCAGAGTTCGCCACCTTCGAAGTCGCCTATGGGAAGTACGAGGCATATTGAGTCGTCGTGGCTGTCTCGGTGCGCTTGGGTGGCGACGTTCACATTGATGACGAGACCAGGAACGGGTGGACAGGGGAGGTATGGTGATCCGGCAGAATGCTAGCTGTAGCATCTAAGTATGAATATTCTTCGGGTAATATTCTCCGGACCTGCATGAAGAGTACGAGGAATGAGGCATTCAATACAAATCCAAAAAAAAAAACTCACAGTCTCTTCGATCCAGCAGAATGCGTTGTTCAGAATCGTCTTCAGAGCGTCGTATATCGGCCTGTGCTCCTCGATGTCCTTCGATGGGTAGGGTAGCATTTGAGCGTAGTTAGTTCTAGAACAGTTCGCTCGACTGAGCATTCGAGGCGGTACATCGACAGGCGCATCGTGACCCTCCAGAGAAGTGTCAGTTGTCTGAAATGAATTGAGCAATCAGCGATGCGTACCTTGGTGCAGTGTCTGTTGTACCATGTGAAATACAGCACGGCGAATTCAATGGGCTGACCGCAACTGAGCGTGGCGGTATCAAGAGTCTTGAAGGGATTGATGGGGAAGCAGGCGACGAGTTGTGAGGTGAGGTCAACCTTGAGAGACGCAGGCATGGATGTGCAGATGCACACCATGAGATTGTTGTCTGCGTCTCGAACAGTCAAGACATCTCTGAGGAGTACGTGGGCGAGCATGGCTCATAAATCAACGGTCTCACGGAACAGGATGTACTATATATACTCACTGAACACATTCTAAAGGCACCCTGATGTACACCTCGTCGTTGGATTTCTTCCCGTCGACATAGAGCTTGCTGAGCTGGGCCAATATAAGTCGGCGCAAGTTTGTAATGGCACGGTCAACCAACGTACCAAACTTTGGAACTCTTCCAGACTTGCAGGTGCGTCCGCTTTGCCGGCTTTGACTCTAGCCCGTTCTGTCCATGCAAAGCTATCTTTGTTGCAGCCTCGTGACAACGGGTACCTGGTGTTGTCTGGGTGTTGAGCGTTGTACGTCGTATGAACTAGATGCTGGTTGTACGCGTTCACCGGCACAGGGATTGATGGATGGTGCATGGTCTCTTCCGGTAGCGTGGAGAAGAGAACCATGGGCGAGATATGCAGACTGGAAGACGTGGAATCTGGCTGGGTTAGAGGTGATAACCCAGCCAGATCGTCTGTTCCGTCAGGGTGGCCGCCTTGAGTGGAAGCTCCCTTCAAGAGCCTGTCTGGAACGTCGTAACAGGCTCTCCACGTCTCCGTGCAGCGAGGTACTAGACAGAAGGCGCTAGAGGTATGTGCTTCAACACGAGCACTTCCTAGGTATTCAGCAAACACTCACTTCTTTTTAAGCCCATCAAACAGCTTGTCGGACGCGTCAATATTGCTGCAGTCATCGTCACCGAGAAAACTGTTATGCTTCACAGGTATGATGTCCGATAGACGGAGTGTAAGGGTGTTGCGCAGCAGCGCGAGTGCGGGAATGAGAACGTGTACGACCTTGCGGCCCTCCGGAGTGTCTACAGATAGTCAGTACGGCATATTAAGCAGTGCATGTCGAGGCTTACCGTTCGGCCAACGCATGAGGTTACCTACGTCTTCAGCGACGTGGCCGTCTGACGTTCCTATTGGGATCCTGAGGTTCTTTGCTGCCACCAGGACAAGAAGATACAGAGAACCTGTGCATATGATCAGCCTACCGTCAGTTGTTTCTAAGTGCATGGAAACGCTCACCGCCACCAGCTAATCTTGTGAACTTTATACCCATTGTGTTCCAGTCTTGGAATGTCCGCACCTTCGGTGGCTCGTCGACGCCGTCAAATGAGTCGCGCCATATCGCCGCAACACTCAGTTTGAGCTTGCGCTTTTTCGCTGCCAGGATCATGCTGGAACAAACGAGATCAGAGTCGAAACAATTACGAAGTAAGAACTTACGCTGAGATCCTGAAACTGAGTCGCATGAGATTAATCATGACCCAGAAGCTTGAGACCGCATTGAGCTTCAAGCTGGTCGAGCACCGAGATGTGAGGACGTGCAGCGGCTCATTGTCCCGTAGCTGCTCTCCCTGCATCTGCACGCCGCTCGCCTCAATGGCTTTGGCCAAGTCTATGATGTCCTTGTCAGCGAGGTCAGTCGTCAGCAACGTGACAAATCGTTTGACGGCTGCTCCGCTTGCCAGCGCGGGTTCCTGTAAGGTATTCCATTCCGCCGAATGTTGCGTGTCTGCCCGGGTCTCTGGTGCGGTACCGTCAGAGTTTGTGATACCAGTGGGTTCGACAAACGGTACACCACCTCGAGCACAGGGCGGTGGACAGGGCGGTGCCAGAGGTGGTGGACAGGACGGTGAGGGACGCAGGGCGTATCGTCGATGGGATGCACGGCTGCCTTCTCCACTTTGCGGATACGGTTGAGCTATCTCGCGAGCTTTCGTACGGCAGGACCTGAGCAGCCTCTGCGGCCCGCTCTGGTGAGCACTACTAGGTATTTCTGTGCGCAACGTGTTAAGATGATCCAATTAGTATTGCGCATCAAGTATACGCACCCTGGTCAAAAGAAATACCCTCTGGGTAGTGTGTGGCAACGACGCTCGTTGTGCAAGCCGGCGTATCTTCAAGGAAGATTGGCAGAGTCTCCTGCTGGTCAGGAGACCCTGGATCTTGACGTTCTTGAGTGGCATGTAGCCTTTGCTGTAAGGCCGTCAGGGCAGGACTGAGATCCGCTGTTCTTGACAAGAGGTCGACCAAGTCCCTCTCTTCCTCTGGTGTGAGTAGCCTCATTACAAAGCCGTTACTAACCTTGCCACCCTACGCTCCCGTAGGTACTGTGAGTGTGGAATGTTGACGTCGAATGTTGAATGTTAACGTTGATAGTTGAGCCCTCTCACTTACAATGGTGCTAGGCGCTAGCTCTAGCGCCGGCGGCAACATAGCGCCCAAGTGACAAAAACAACGCATCATAGTTTACGGTACAGTACATGAACAGAGTAGTGATAGCAATGATTTACACGAGGAATTGCGATAGCGATGGTATAGACAGGGTTTGCAGGATAGCCACATGACGTTCGTACAAGCTCTGACGATGAACTGCGGATGGGCGCTGCACTACCGAACGTGAGGCGACAGAACAAGCGATGACAGAACACGAGGTCACACAACATGAGACGACAGGACACGAGAAGACGGGTGCGAGGATGGGGTGTGAAACCATGGGGTGTGGGACCACCGGCACCAGATGAAGGTGTGAGCGACAACAGGGCGCGAGACGCGAGACGCGAGACGACAGGGCACGGGGCGCGAGACGAAGGGCACGGGGCGTGAGACAACAGGACGCGAGATGACAGGGCGCGAGCTGAAGACGAGGTGCGCAAGACATAGACGGTTAGTCACTGCCGTCGGAGTCACCGTCAGAACCGGGCACGTACTCCGAGCCGGTGGAGCTCGCAGTGCCAGTCGTAGTATCGTCTGCGATGGACGTTTCAGTACGCGGCCGTGCCATGCTCCCCTTTGCAGACCCCAGGTTACGTTTCTTGCGCAACTGGCCGAGCTCCCCTACGTTCCTGTCTTCAAATCCTCGTTTGACGCCTTGCCCAAACGCAATCGCACCGCTGTAGTCGTCAAGACTGCTGGCGTTGGCGTGGTCATCACAGCCGTCAATCCCGAACTTGGTTGGCTGGTCTAAAGCCTTGTTGAAGCGCTGCTGGGCCGTCAACCATGCGGCCCGAGTCACCCATGGCAGGATGTACTCCACCGGGTTGCCTAACGGTGGGTTGGTCACCTGTGGCTTGGTCTTCTCGTTGGTGATTTTTCGATATACTGCTTGCTCTCCGCCTCCGAAGTGTGCATTGCCAACGTGCATGAGATGGTTTGGTTGACGAGGCGCTTCCGCACCGAGTACATGCAACGGTCCCAATGCTCACGGAACGTCTGCAGGCGTTCGGTCTGCAGGCCAGGCGCATACGTTTTACGCAGCTTCTGTAATCAATAGTTAGTACGTTAAAATGTAGGCGTGCAGTGAGACTTACCACGCAACGGTGGTCTTCTACCCACTTTTCGATCGGATCCATGTAGTGCTGCAAGAGGTAGTGGTAGTCGTCCACGCCTTGGAAGGACCACAAATAGACTTCAATGGGTCCGCAGTGGACGACACCGTTCTTGGCCCAGCCTCCAGAGATGTGACCTGCCGGACACGGCAGCTCCACCCATGCATCGCCGTCAATGTTGATACCGTCGGGTGCCACCCTTGGGCCTTCCTCTACGTCAGCGACAACAAATGTTACGTCGGTGACACGGCGGCGTTTGCCGTTGATTTCGCCATCCGAGATGTTGCCGTCGTTCTCCTGGACGTTGACAGCGACGTCCGGGTGTTGACGGCGACGTCCGAAGTGTCGACGGGGTCTGAAGAAGACCGACCATCATTCATGTCTTGATCGGATTTACGTGATGATGCGGTGTCGGTGAGGTTGGGCAACGATGTCAGTGCATCGGCGTCGTAGCCGTCGTCCACACCGGCGGCAACTGGTTCAAGGGATGTTGGGGCCTCCGATCGAACCCGAAGGCCTTCGAGCTTACGTCCCAAGACGGCTCCGTGCACAGGCGTTCTAGCGCCATCCACGGGCGTGTCCTGCATGTCGATGTCGGCATCCTGCGGGCTGTCAGATGGTGGTGGGGCTACGGGTGCCATGAGCGCGACATCGGACTGTTCAGCCCCAAGGTTGAACTGCACGTTCTCCTCGACAACCATCCCATCGACGGTCTGTACAAGGTCAGCCCATAGTATCTACAAAACAAAGATGAATACGTACCTTCCGCAACACGTCCACACGTGTCTGAGCCCCCGCCCCCTCGAACACTATGCCGTATGTATCGCAGTTCACCTTGATGCCATTCCTTTCCACTTCAAAGAGGCGGGCTTGGACGAAATCCGGTACTGCGATGTGGTGGTTGCGCACGATGAGCATCGCGCCGTCTTCCAGTGCAAGGGAACCTTGGAGCGGGTGTTTGGTGACAATGGGCTCCACCACGTCTCCACACACGCCGTCCCTTATGCCGCCGACGATTGCTTGATGCATGAATAAAGCTGACCCCGCGGTGACGGTCCCCATGTCAGTGTCGTATCTAAACCTGCATTATATGTCAATTTGTGTCGAGATCACAGAGCGACTGACTTACTCACCAAAAGTAGCGTAGAATGTCTGGTTTGTCCAGTATCTGCGCCTTCAAATCCTGCCACTCTGGCTCTGCGATTCCGGGTACCTATGCTGGAGAGTAAGTATTCTGAATTGAAGCCAAAAGATAAGATACCTACTCTAACAACCGCGTCAGGGAGGACTGGGAAGTCCTCCTGCCTGAGCAAATGCCCAAAAATCTGCTCGGCAAATGGCCAGTGTTTGATGTGCGCTTGATAGCGTTCGTTCTCGGCTTCAGCGGTGTGCTTGTCCTCAGCTTCGATGTCGTGCTCGTCCTCGACACTTGTAGGCTGTGAGCTCGTGGAGAGGCGAGCTGGCGATAGAATCATACGATCGTAAGCAAAGTTAGAGACTATCAGCATACAAGACTCACCGGTATCGAAGCTGTAGTCGTGGCCTGAGAAGTCAGAGGTAGCTGGACTCTGCGGGGAACGATGGGCGCCCGTGATGGACTCAAGGATGTCCGCGCAGTCAGGGGAGTGGGATATGGTAGGCGAGGAGAGAGGCATGGCGAATCGCGATGTTGTGTGAGGGTGAGGTAAGGGAAGCACAGCGTCGAGGTAAGTCAAGTGACAAAGTGCATATGCGGCGGACTTACAGACACCTTTCAATAGCTCACGGCACTGTAGTGTGCGTATCGGCCGCCATGTGCGGCACTTCCATGTGGATAGATGAGAACTTAAAGGTCTAGAACTCAGACGTCTTAATTAAGCACTCACAGATGTCATTGGCCCAGTACGTGCACATACTGTCATTCGAATTATCCTCACCCACCATTCCAGACCGCTATACTGGGGAGCGCTTACACACATGCCCGTTATGGACGCGCGGCGACGCCGCGCGTTTAGACGGTTGCAACCAGCGTCTAATTATGCGGTGTCGCCGCGTGTCCATAACGGGCATAACACGCGATCTCCACTGGCTTCCGACTGGATCAGATGTGGCTGAAGCACCGAAGTGTTGAATGACGGTTCACAGAAAGAGTTAGAATAGGTGAGTGCGATATTCAGTTATGGAACTGACATAAACGCACCACTTTACGCCCGTGCAGTCAGATCACTCAGGCTGGCAGTCCTGCAGCCTGGACGTTAAGTATGACCCCTCTAATGTACGCACCGGCAAAGTAATAGGAAATAAAAGTTCATGAGTTGCGGAAGACTAAAACAACGTACATACCAGGACGGAGGACAGTGGTTGAGGATAAGGTAAGTGAGAGTGCGGGAGAGAGCCTCCCAAGGTACGCATACTTGACATTCAGTTGGGCGTCCCCGTGCGATCACCGCGGGTCTTGATGGCAAGGCCGCAGTGACAGCGACATGGGCACAAGACGTAAACTGAATTCAAATGTGAGTAGGCGGAGACGCGCCCTTGGACACGTCTCCCATAAGCTTCCCACCTTCTCCGTGAATTGTAACTGCAGGCGTTATACCGGTGAGTACCATGGCTAGAGGTTGTCCTAAAGATGTACTGATCTTTGCAAGTCTTGCAAGCATGGGCAGGCAGCGTAAGAGACTGAGATGTCTGGAAGACATGCTCGCCCAGACATGTGAGGCGTGCAACCAACCTTTCGACACCATGCAGGCTTGTCGGCACACCAAACAACAGCAGGCGGTGCGCATGGTACAAGAAGGGTAAGCGGAAGGCGTTACTCTTTGACGACATGTCAAGTGCATCGGACTGGACGATGAGCGAGCGGTGGCTGGTGGTCAGCGCCGTCGGCGGAAGAAGCACCGCAAAGGAAGGACACAGGGAGGTGCATTTTTCCCCGCCTCATACCTCACTGCTTGTGAAACTGACCGTCTGTACCAGCATCAGTGATGCCGATATAGCAGACATGGACACGAACAACATTGACGGTCCCTCAGGTGCGCCTGTTGATGACGCATGCGACTGACTAATGATCTGAGACTCTGAAAACAGGTTCAGATAGACAACTACCCGACGTACCGGACTGCTCAGAGTGTGCAGGATGACAACCAGAACTTCAAGGAGGTGCGGACCAGGAGAGGATGAACAAGGGAAGAGGATGAGGAAGAGGATGAACAGGACGAAGAGAACGAAGAGTTGTACACCTTCGTTCCGGTCGGGGATCCAGTAGGCGACAAACACTTCCGCAGCCTCTTCTGTTCAAAGACAGCGATATCCCTGGACGACGAAGACGATGAGAGGACAGAGGATGTCACAAGGAGGCAGGCAAGGTGATAGGCGAGGGAGAGACGGTCAGAGAGGCTTGGAGGAAGCACTTTGACGGTGTCTTGGCAGGTGAAGGTGCGTCTTGCTTTAGATACCGTGTTCTCACATACACTAACCAGCCATGTTTGCCAGACAACGGGCTCCTCCAGCTGGCTTTGGGAGCCATTCGAGTCCGAGATGGACTGGCAGCTGGCTAAATGGCTCATCCAAGAGGGCATTGGCCAAGGCGCAATAGACCGTCTGCTCCAGATACCCCGAGTGAGTATGCTCAGCCATTCACGTGTAGAATAGACTCTGACATTAGTTCCAGTTCCGGCATCAGCTAGGCTTGTCTTACCACAACAACCGCGCTCTGCTGCAGAAGGTGGACTCATTCCCGAACGAGCCGAGTGGAAGGAACGTTGGCTCACGTTCAAGGACTGTCCGGAGAGCAACACCTTCTCCAGTTCAGGGACGTTATCCAGGCCATCAAGGCTCTTCTAGGCAACCCAGCTCATGCGCACCGCATTGTTTACAAGCCCAGCCGGATCTTCTCCGATGCGACCTGCAAGAACCGCATCTACTCGGAGATGTGGACTGGGCAGTGGTGGAACGCTATCCAGGTGCGTTCATTTACTTCTATTCTACGTACTACTTCCTGACTGTGCCCTCACTGCAGAGCCTTCTACCTGGTGGCGCCGCTGTCGCACCGGTCATCATCTCTACGACAAGACCCAGCTAACGCAATTCTCTGGGAACAAGGCCGCCTACCCGGTATACCTTACGCTGGGCAACATACCAAAGGACCTCCGTCGCAAGCCGAGCGAGCACGCGTGCGTGCTCGTCGGCTACCTCTCATGCGACAAATGACTCCTCCATCTCCGAGAACAAACGTCGTGCGATGGTACATCAACTCTTCCACGCGTCTGTACGTATCATCCTCGAGCCGCTAATCAAGGCAGGGAAGAACGGAATAGACGTGACCGGCGGTGATGGGAAGGTACGCAGAGTGCATCCAGTGCTCGCGGCGTACGTGGCAGACTACCCCGAGCAATGCTTGGTGACATGCGCCAAGTACGGTACATGCCCAGTCTGCCAGTGTCCTGAGGATGGACTCGACGAAGCGGCTGCGCGAACTCCTCGAACTCAGCGCTGGACACTGGACGTACTCCGCAAGGCTGGCGAACGGTCGAAGAAGGGCTCAAATGGTTCTCAAAACGTGCAAGACCTTCAACGTTTCTGGCTACAGCATCAAGCCCTTCTGGGCTGATCTGCCGTTCGCCGACATCAATTCTGCGTAACACCTGACGTGTTACACCAGCTGTATCAAGGCGTGTTCAAACACGTCGTCGAGTGGTGCACGGACCTCCTCGGTGAGAAGGAGCTCGACCGCCGCATACGCACGCTCCCGCCCGCGTACGGAACCAGGCACTTCAAGAAGGGCATATCCGCCCTGTCCCAGGTCTCCGGGAGCGAGCGGAAGGACATGGCCCGTGTCCTACTGGGTTGCCAGGTAGGCCGCATCCCCAAGGACGCATCCTTACCTTCCGCGCTCTCCTTGATTTCATCTATCTTGCCCAGTATCCTACTCACGATGACACGACCCTCAGCTACATGGATGACGCCCTGAAGACCTACCACAAGCACAAGAAGATTATTGTCGATCTGAACCTACGCGAGCACCTCAAGATACCAAGTTCCATTCACTGCTACACTACATGGATGCTATTCGACGCCTCGGCACCACCGACAACTATAACACCGAAATGTTCGAGAGGCTTCACATCGACTTCGCAAAGAAGGCCTGGAGAGCGTCAAACCACCGAGATGCAAGACCACAGATGACACGCTGGCTCGTCCGGCGCGAGAAGGTCGCATGTACGATACCTTGAAAACAAGACTGGATCCCGACTCACAGGACGATGCATATGACTCAGACGATCCAGACTTCCCGTCTCCGACTCTACCATCCCGGAAAGCGATCCAGCGAAACTCAAGCACCGAGCATCCTCTTACCCAAGCACCTGTCCGTCAAACAGCAGGCGCTTTTTCCATCGAGGAGAAGCATAACGCGCCAGGCTTTTCCAATGCCATCGCGCAGTACGTCTACTCTCTCAAACTCGGACGTAAGCTCAACTCGCGAGAACTCGAATGTGCCATGCCCACCTCCCATTGCCGGAGTTGACGTCTACCATGCAACCAAATTTCACAAGTCCCTCTGATGGACAGCCAGGAAGACGAGACCGCGCAATGCAAGACCTATGTCTTCCAGATGGCCTGCAAGATTCGATACTGTCGTGGTATTGCAGGCCGACGACGCTGAGGCAACGGGAGTTCAAGGTGCGTCCCAAATTCTAATCATTTATTCTAGTTTTAACACTACACACAGGGACACGCATAGGCCGGCTGCGTGTAATCTTCCGACTTCCGAAGAAGGTCAGGAACCTAACAATCACCAGGAGATGTCGGCACCAGCAGAGTGGGCCGACATTGGCCCCTTAGCGTAGTCGAATGGTACTCAAAGTTCGCCGCGAGTCCGGATCCCTCCCACCTCATGTACGAAGTCAAACCGATGGCGCCTCGTGCGGACGGTAATCCTCCAGGAGAAATTATACCCCTTGCATCCATCCGCCAATCCTGTCAACTAATCCCCCGGTTTCCTATTCCTAACTCTGTAGACCACTTAGAAAATCTTATTCCTGACAGTTGGACCACTGATACTGTACTTGACTTAGCTTCTAGGTTTCTCTTGAACAACTGGGCTAGTAAATACGCGTACCAGACTCTGTGGTAGCGCTGCTGAGTTTACTGATAGACGTACAAGTACCAGTATTGGACTTCATTGTATTTTTACTACGCTCGTATTGTTACTACACTGATTGTGTTATAGT